CTATGACAAGCTACCTCCACACACGCCCACGCCATGCCTGTCGAACTTTATACACAAAAAACGGCCGCCCCATCTCTGACAGTTTCAATTTTCGGCGAACACTGTCAAGGCATACTAGTGCCACAGCCAATTAATAAAGCACAACAGCCGCCACAATTCGCTGCCGCTTCGAAGACACTGCGCAAGATGTCGAAGATTGACAAAGACAGCAGCCAGAGCGCCTTCGAGATGGTGCGTCGTGTCTTGTCCTTCGTTCATGATGTAGAGCGCGGCAAGCTGCTCGATGGCGTGCCCCTTTGTGCTGAGCCACCCACAAGCCATGATCTGGGCCCTTTCTTAGGGCTCGCCTCTGCGCGCTCATCTTGTAGAGCATCGCCGACACGCTTTCCCCTTGAGAAAGCGGCCAGCAATGCCTCGCGCTTAGCTGGGGCGGAATCCTTTGAGCAAGTGCGCGGTCTTAACTTTTCACCCGCGCGCTGTCACGCTGCCTGGTGGCATCTGAAGACGGTCGAAGCCTCACCGTGTCCCCGCCTGTTGGCAAGCACGTCACTGGTCTCCAGGTCGTCCTCGATCATGGCGGCGATGCGGGACTTGTTGCCATGCAAGATCTTTGCTTAGCGGTGCGCTTTTGGTGTTCGTCCCCGCCCGCCATGCCTTCCCCACCTCAAGAAGGCAAAACGAGCGACAAACAGCCGCCACTAGCCTGGCCCCATCCATAATTTTCGAAAACAACGTCGCGCAGTCTTCCCAAGTCCGTACGCGAAGGCGCGCCGCTGAGCTCGCTCGCCTCCGTTGCAAAGTGCCGCGCCGCCGCCGTGTCACCAGACAACATCACCGCCACTCCCATCGCCATGGTCGGCACCTGTTGCAGCGTCTCCTTCTCCCTTCGTAGCCTGCCGGCGAGCTTCTCCCAGTAGCGCGCCCCCTCCGGCCGTCCGGTGATTAGCGAGCCAGATAGATACGAAGGGAGACAAAGGCGGCGAAACGAGTCAGGGAGTTTTAGTCGCGAAGGCTTGTTTAGGTAGAATTTATTGGCGCAGCAGTCTACAAAATTCCCCATAACCCGCCCAGTGCCCCGCTCTACTACTTTGCCCCTGCTGCCAACCACTGACGGAGCTAAGAGGGCTACTAGTAGCAGACAGCAACCAACACGCCATAAACTCCAGCCGCGTCTTGGCTTTTTGGCCGCGTTTTGTGGGGAGTTGTTCGCGATCTTCAGGCGTAAAGCGCGGCCCGCGGCTCCTCTTCTTCGTCAGCTCCTTCGCCACCTCCTTCAGCTCATCGCGGTCCCCCCTCTTTTCCACGGATTTTGCGCCGACGCAGCCGCGGCCCAAGCGTCGCCCCGGAGGGCCAGCCTCGCTGTCTTCGAGGCCTTCTCTGCCGTCAGGGCGGGGCTCAAAGTTAGAAGGGGCAAGCCATTGGCGTTCATGATTGAGGCACGGTCTCAACATAGTCAATCTATGCCCCCCAGCTAGTTAGTGCCCGCCTGAAAAAGTGCAAGACTGACGCCAAGAGCAGAAAACTAAGCACAAGAACGCCAAAGCCTTAACAGAGAGAGCTCCCGCCTGACCTCTTTCGCCAGTCGTTTTGGGGCAAGCCGCTTCCTCTTTTTTCCCCGGCGCGCCTTTTTTGCCTTCGTCTTCTTTTCGTCGTCCTTCTTCTCATCATCCGACATCTTGCCCACGGCCCAAGTCAGTGCTTACTTTTTGACTTAAGTAAGGAAGCGCCTAAACGCCGCACCTCGCTGCTGTTAGTCATCACTTCAAGCGAAGAGCGAGGGCGACTCCCTCTCCGCGCTGATCTCATAAAGATAAAAGATAGACCGAGGAAAGCCAAAGGGCTGGCGTTCTTTTTACAGCAAGCGGGGCCGATCTCATAAAAATGACCGCGGTCACTTTTTGGCCAGGAGAACATCAAAACTAAACTACGCACAAAGGAGCCAAATGGCTACGGTTTGGGCTGCTTTCTTCATCATCCTCCGCGACTTCACCCCTGTCCTTTGGAAGGTGCTAACCTGCACAAGCACAGGAGGATCCTAAAAAAACGAGCAGAAAGGCACGCACTCGGCCTGTTGCCATCTAAGAGCGCCCCCGAGCTTCGCTCGCGCCTTTCACCCAAGCAAGCTCCCGCTCCTGGGCCATCGAAATACTGCACGCATCAACTTACTACTGTCCTGCATACGCTTACAGCCTTCAAGCTTTGGCGCTACTGCTGTTTTTGGCTTCGCGCTCCTTTCTTTCTGATTCTGCCTACTTGTCTTGCTCCTGTTGTGTTGTTTCTTTGGTCACGATGCTCGTGAATCGCTACGCTATTACATCGCCCCCAGACAGTACTAACAAGGCGATCTCTATGAGTACTTTTCTCAGACTACCTAGTAAGGACGACCTCGAAGGCGCTGCCTGCCTGCTTGCAGCGCTTCACGAATTGCGCTGCGGGCTGGGTGCCGTGCTTAGAGGCTGAGCGCCGGCGCATCTCACTCCGACTTCTATCGCTATGGCCTTGCTCCCTACTTGGAGAAGCCACAGAGATGCGCAGAGAGGCACCAGCCTGCAACCCCCAGCACATGACACGCGAGGCCTTGCCAAACTTAGACGCGACGACACGGAAGCCAGCGCGGTCCCCAGCCAAGCTCAAAAGACTGGCGCGCCACGCCTTGCAATCCTGCTCGCCCCAGCGCGTGCTGTCGAAAGTTAGAGCCCCCCCTGGCTCACCCCTCTAGAAACCCCCCCAGCGCACGCGTCGCGGTAGCTAATGCGTCCTGTGTCGAAGTGCATACTGCTGCGGGATATCTGTAGAGAATGACCAGGGGAAGCCTGAAGGATGACGCCTCTCCTAGGGCAAGAACTGCCTCAGCCTTCAATGGCAGACGCGGGAGAGAAGCCTGGACCGCACTGGGCAAGTTTGTCCCATAGCCTTCAGCGTCGACTTTGAGAGAGTGGGATTAGAATCCCGAGAACGAAACAGAGAAGAGACGCCCACCCTGGAGCAATGACGACGATGAAAAACCTAAGAAGCCCCAAGCCATAAGAGCAGCGCCCTTGCCTTCGAAGCCTCGACGAGGTCGCCCCCGAATAAATCGGGCAGCTTTGTGGTCGCAGCATGCACCTCCGTCCCGCCTTTGACAGACTTGAACTCCGACAAGGAGTGTCTGCATCTATTATATCCAGCAGCCTCCGGCCCCAGCAAGGAAAAGCCTGCCGCTTCAGGGCGAGACTGCTCGCACATTAGAGGCAAAGCCTTGGCATTTACTTGCCCCAGGTTGGTTTGATGCTCTTCCCCCTTGGGAGAGTCAAAACAAACAGCAGCGCGAACAGCTAAGGCCCACCCTTAAAGACACAGCCGCCGCCTCGATGACAGCGGCACCCGGCACGCTCATGGATAGAAGCTCGGCACTGTCTGAAACCGACTCGGCTACCAGCATACTCTTGGCCTGGTTGATTAGATGCGAACTTCTTCCAAAACAAGGGAGCGAGACAAGCAGGGGAGGCCGCTTCTCTACTAGAAGAAAGAGACGAGCAAAGCTAGCCGACTGAGAGGGCGGCGCGCTCCCTTGTTTCTTGCCTTAAGAGCCTCCCCCCGCGCGCTTCCTTGAGCCAGTTCGAAGCAGCCCCAATACTGCAGCCCTTCGAGCGTCCTCGAGTTCATCCACATGGAGGCCCCTCAAGAGTGTGCGAGTGTCTCCCTTACTTTACACCGAGGCGCATACTGTTGAGAGACCTCCACCGCGATGGACAGGGGGAAGCCTTAGCCCCTATATTCAAAACCACCCACTTCAGCTTCGCACTCTGGAGTATCGAACTGCAAAAGTTAGACCACCCCGACACCCATCCACATGAAAACCCATCCAGCACATGCGCCGCCACCTCCTCCCCTGTGTGTGTATCTACTTGGGCGCACCTGCTTGGGGGGCGTTTTCATGATCTACAAGAAACCAACGCTAAGAGTGTCTTGGGGGTATATGAGACGGCTGCTTCTTTGAGCTGCGTCGCGTCCGTTGTCCCTGGTTTTATTAGAGCGAGCGCGCCTGCGTCCCTGAGCCATCCACCGGCCCCCTCTTCCTTTGAAAAAAGAAGCAAGGACGAAGCTGAGGACGCTCCAGCGGCATCCACGGTCAGACCGTGACCACCTGCCCCCAGCTGGCCAAGACTCTCACTCTTAGAGCTTTCCCGAGTTTGCTCACCGGCCCCTTCGGTGATCCCTGGAGAGCAATACGCGCCACACTCTACCCCCCTGGTATTGGGCCGCATTCTGCTGAGGGATGTCCAAGGGGATGCACTAGCAGAAGCCTTACGACCTGCGCCACCACCTGCTTGCTGCTGCTGCTAGAAGAGCTCCCGCTGCCTCTGCTGCTGCTCGAGCCGCTGTCGCTGCTGCAGCCGCCGCCTCCGCCGCCGCTGCTGCTAGCGCTGCTTTTGCTTTTTGCTTTTTGCTGCTGCCGCTCGGGCAGCCTCTTCCTGCGGTGTGATAGGGGTGGCATTCATCTGCGCCACCTTTCCTTTGGACACGTTGCGCCAAGTATTAGAAAGAGCCCAAGACGCTACCAACATGGACACGCTGGCCCGCTAGCTTAGAGGTCAGAAAAGGGCAGAGCTGAGAAACTATGATGGGGCAAGAGGGCAGGGCGGTGCTGCTTTCCCATCGAGGTAAACCTACGAAGTCAGCCCCCCCCCCTTGCTCAGCTCTGCTTTTTTCTGTCTGGCCCTTAAAGCACGCGCCTGGCGCTGCGTCTCCTCGGGAGCGTCATCCCACGCCTGGCCCAGCAGGCCGCCAGACGAAAAACGTAGAGGAACTCGCTGACTGAGTGACGAGAAGCGAAAGCACGCGCCAAGCCGTTAAGAAGCCGGGAAAGTTTTCTTTTCTCCTATAATTAATCTTTCAAAGCATGCCCATACTGAGTTACTTTTGGCAGACGACAAAATAGCCTTACTTACACGAGACAAATTAAAGCGGCGCAATCTGAAGGACACGAGAGGCCGTAGCCTGAAAGGTGCCGCAGCGTCGTTTGTGAACAACCAGAGGCCATCCGTCCCAGGCTGTGCGTCCAATTGCATAGGGGAAGGGCTTCGCCCAACGTTTCTCCGCGAGACACTTGCCAAGACTTGGCAATCTGTGTTCTTGTGGTCCAACAGTAAGTAAAAGAGCCAGGTGGCCTTCTAAGTAAGAACTAAGAAACTATGCATGCGCAATTACTTCCTTCTTTGCGAGTGACCCTTGATGTTCTTCCTCAAGCGACGGTGGCGACTGCTTGTAAGACTCTCGAATCAGCGATGCGTATTTTGCATTTTCATCACTGCGATAAAAAGTCGTGGCCTCCTCGAGTGGCGCAGCAACGGTAACAAACTGACCACCGGCAAACTCCTTTTTAGAGGAGCTCAAAATTTGATTCATGATCCGCTCGCCTAAGGGGGAAAAACATCTATTCGATAAACTGAAATAAGCAAGTAACTAACAGAAATAAGCGAGATACTGAAGGGCGAACAGCGTAGTGACTCTTTTGTTTCATCTAGCTACTCGTCTATTTTCATTTTTCGAATAGAAATAGTCCAATGTTGAGTTGTCCCTGAGTGGGGAAAATAAAGAGCGATCATGAAGGATCTTCCACACGCAGTGCTGGAGATCATTGATGTGTTCTTTTATACCAGCCTTAACATTCCCTGTCCAAAGTTGGGTCCATTTAGCGGCACCTAGAGGATTCGCCACATCTCTACCTACACTTGGAAGAAAAACGCGCTTCTTCCGTTGTCCCGGTTTAAAGACTGGCGCGATGAGCAGTTCTGGACCTAAGAAAAACTGTTGCTCCCCTACTTTTCTTCCAGGCACTTCTCCTACTTGCTTCGTACTTCTATCTGTTCTAGATGAAGATGAAGTAGTAGGCTCTGTCCACTCAGGAGGACAAGGCTGTGGCTCGGAAGCAAAACGCTCAGAAGGTCCTAAACTTCTAGTAGACGCAGGCGCAGGTGACCCAGAGGCTTTTGCTATGCTACTAGTTGTAGTAGGCTCAGCGTCGAGTTGTTGTAGAAGTTGAGGCGAGAGCACAATGCCTGCTTTTTGCGCGGCTGCCACGGATGAATACACTTCGCAGTTCTTCGCGGCTTCCTTATCCTGTGGCGAAAGTCGCACTTGTAAAGGTAGTAGTTCTGCTTCTTGTTGGCGTAACGTAGTTTCGCCATGTACTAGTTCACCGTTTGCGTCGAATTCTAGCTGCGTAGATGCTGAGGATGTCCTTGTTGGAGAATCCGCCTGCTTTTCATCCTCCGATACGTCTTCCCACCACACTTCTGTTGAATCGTCTACGAGAGATCCATGGCGCAAAAGCGGCAGCAACGGCTCATCTTGATCGATTTTTTCTCGATACTCTGCGCCCCTTGCAAAGACTGTGGCCCATCGACGCAGGTGCGGCAAAATTTCGTCATCCCATGTTAGAGCTCGCCTTATAAGCTGATCCATGCATCTTGAAACTCTTCATGTAGTGGGTACCACTTTCCCCCTTGACCTTGAAAAGCCTCTCACTCCAGAATATCTCGGTTATAGAAGAGATGGAATAGAAGAAGCCTTAACCACGGTTGCACAGAGCTTCCTGGCTTAGTTCCCGGATGCGTCCGAAAAACAGCGTCGGCAAAAGCAGTATACTGCATCCAGCGAACCATCAACTCTGCTCCACGATGCAACGCCGGCAAAACGACAATGCCTCCATCCGGTCCGGGAAAACTGAGAGAGTGCGCACCACTGTGGAACTCATTCATTCATTCATTCGAACCACGTAGCAACTCAACTTACTTGTTCGTAAGAATCACTACACAGAAAAAAAAGGCTCGAACCTAAGTAGACTAAGAAGCTTGCTAGCAGGTCACTCAGTAAGATTGTGCACAATGTCGCGAGCTAAGCGCCGCAAAAGGGCGAGCAACATGAACGAAGGGCAAAGGCGACACACTTGGGCGCCTGTTTATTACTTTGAGCAATGACTTCCTGGCTTTCCTCATGCTTCCCAAGGTGTTGCACCGTCACCAAATAAATAAATGTAAGCAAAAGTACGCTGTTCTATCCGTCATGGTATATCCTCCGACATCAGCGTGAACGTAGCGCCAGCCACTAAATCCGCTCATAGTCGCGCCTATAGCCGCACTTTGAAACCCATCGTACGCATCCCAGGTTACTGTCTGATCACCCATCCAAAAACTTCCTAGAATTTGCGTATTCAACAACCCTGCTGCGGTAAGTTAGATGATGGGTGGGAACGAAGTCCTGGAATTCAGGGTCTTGGGGGACAGGTACAGAGTAGAAGAACTTCAACTTGTAGAAACTACAGGAATGTCAATTCATCCTGTATCTGTAACTCTCTTTTCTTGTTTTTCGAATATTCCAAACACATAACGAAAAAAGTTGAAGATGACGTCGCGCTTTCCCGTCAACCGGCTGTATTTTTCAACGACCATCCTGGTAACCTCTCCCCATTGTTCCAAGTAGCGCGTGTGACCAGAAAGAGCAAACCTCACAGCAGTTTTTTTGTCGCCATCTAAAATTAGACCTTGAGTAAATCTCCAGCTCAGCCTTCATCTTGCTGCTAATTTTCCTCTCGAGACTGAAGCAAGATCGATCCTGGCAAAGCTGGACTTTGTTCTAAAGCCTTATCTTCAATGTAGCCTTGTGACTAGTACTTCTAGTCCCGTCCTCAACACTGACCCAGCCAAGTGGACCATATTCACCGAAGTCGCTCATCCACCCATGAACTAGAGGACCCGCTTCACCCGCTGAGAGCTCAGGGCAACGTTCTGGCACTGGAAGCATCATCGCATTACAAAGCAGCACGTCGACGTACCACTCCCGGACCTCTCTCCGGTCTAAAGCCAGCACAGAAAATTGGAAGTCGTCGGTTGCTGACGGTAAACGAATTTGTTCTTGAGTACTTGTGCTCTCATCTTCAAGTGACTTTGATGGTGTCGTTTTGGAGGATTTCGGTTTTAGGGCACTTCTATCAACGTTGTTGATGTACATCTTCTGAAAGAAGCCTCGCTCCACTGCTTCTTGATAGATCGTTTTCGTAGCACTAGGACCCGCGGCTGGTGTTTTTACTTCTGCAGCTTTCGAAACTGCTTTGCCGCCTTTCTGACCTTCTTCTTCTGATCTCACATAGGAATTCACATAGGTGAGCACCCGCACACCACGCTTGAGCCACTTCTGCGAGAACTCTCGGAAGTTAGGATAGTGCGACTCATCTAGACGCCAATCCCAGCGAACTCGAGTACCAAAGTCGGTAAAAATCCTGCCGCTCCAGTCTTGACTCCACACTGCGCGCACGGGCACTTTCGCTGCATGCAGTTTCTCTAGAACCGCATTCACCACTGAGGCGCCGCCTGTGGATCCAATGATCGCCCCCTCCTGTGTCCACTTTGGGAGACGCCACGAGGGCAGGTTGATGTTTTAGAGCTTGCCCGGCTCCATCTTGGGATGCATCCTACGCACCCTTTACGTTTGAAAAGCCTCCCCAGGATGCCTCTGCAGATGGATTATGGGAAGCCTTAAATGTTCTCGTCTTTCTTGATGTCAGAGAGCGAACGCGCCTTCTTCAGAGGACCTGCTGACGTGATCTTGTTCTCGTCGTCTGCTAGTCCTTGTACTACTCCTCCATCCTTCGAGTTCGACTCCGAAGAACCACCGACCACTAAATCATGATATTCTGGTGACAGTTGATCTGCACGTCTTGCGAGGCTACGGATTTCACGGTTTACGTTGCGGACCGCAGAAGCAACTCCAGTCGGCGTTAGCGCTCACAATCTCTTACAGTATAAAGTTTTTCCCTCGTTTTGATTTTGATTTCATATTTTGAATTTTGATTTTGAATTTTGAATTTTGATTTTGAGTTTTGATTTTGAATTTTGACTTTTGATTTTGAGTTTTGATTTTGAATTTTGATTTTGAGTTTTGATTTTGAATTTTGATTTTGAGTTTTGATTTTGAATTTTGATTTTGAATTTTGATTTTGAATTTTGATTTTGAATTTTGATTTTGAATTTTGATTTTGAATTTTGATTTTGAATTTTGATTTTGAATTTTGATTTTGAATTTTGATTTTGAATTTTGATTTTGAATTTTGATTTTGAATTTTGATTTTGAATTTTGATTTTGAATTTTGATTTTGAATTTTGATTTTGAATTTTGATTTTGAATTTTGATTTTGAATTTTGATTTTGAATTTTGATTTTGAATTTTGATTTTGAATTTTGATTTTGAATTTTGATTTTGAATTTTGATTTTGAATTTTGATTTTGAATTTTGATTTTGAATTTTGATTTTTGATTTTGAATTTTGATTTTGAATTTTGAATTTTGAATTTTGAATTTTGAATTTTGAATTTTGAGTTTTGAATTTTGAATTTTGAATTTTGAATTTTGAATTTTGAATTTTGAATTTTGAATTTTGATTTTGAATTTTGAATTTTGAATTTTGAATTTTGAATTTTGAATTTTGAATTTTGAATTTTGAATTCTGGATTTTGACCTTGCATTTCGTCCAGAAGACGAGATTGATGTTATTTCACATTCATTTTGGCGAAGCATCTGTTTGCTTTTCTTGCACATTCACCTGCAGTTCATTTTTCTAGCAAATGTTTTGAAATTCCGTTGACCCCTGCCCCTGGGGAACCACTCCAAAGAGCTAGTGTAGTAACTTATCTGATAAGTTCGTAGTCACAAAATCCAAAGAGAACAATGAGCCAAGTAAGCTGTGAAGATGAATTTTTGAATTATCTTACGTCTTAACTCTGGGAGACTCAACCGAGCTTCAAAAACGTGTGCACGGCTTTCCTCCACCGCACCATAATCTTGCGGATACGTGATTACCAATTTCGTTCGCGCGCCCTTGTTGACCGCGGATCTTGCCTCTGCTTTTTCTGGCCGTACATTTACATTAGAGCTAGTAGTGGATTTCGTAACTGTAGTAGACAAAAAAGATGAAGAAGTCCTAGACGCATTGCGCCCTGTCGTTACTGTTATAGGCTTTTTTCCCCTTCCACAACGAGCTACAAGAAAAAAGCCGTTCCCTCGTACAAGAATAATTAGAAAAACGCCAAAACGCAAGGCATGCCGACGGCGTAGTTCTACAAAAATTTATCCCTAACTCCGGAATTCAAGCTATCGCTCTCCTGCTCGTCATCGAATTCAACAGTGGCATATTCGCGGTTTGTCAGCACCACGCCATAGGCTTTAGGAGGTTGATGCACAGCACCACCAGAGGCTGTAGAAGATCTAGTACAAGCATTTTTTGGAGAATCATCTTCGCCTGTGGCCATCGCAGAATCACGCTCACCTGTCATGGTAACTCCCATACGATCGACCCACGCAGGTATCGCAGAGTAGCTTTTGAAAGTGTCACCACCAGCGAAAGGGACGAATTTGTCGAGTAGATACGTAATTGGTTGCACTCCACGACCCACGCCACAGCTTAGAAGAGCTCGCGGAAGGGGAAAAAGGCCTAGAACTTCTGAGGACCCTGTCGTTACTGTTAGTGAAGTTAGTAGTGCTAGTAATTTCCCCATTCGGGGGGTAAGGCAAACATTACAAAGTTGTAAAGCATGTAGATGTAAAGACATTCATAACTCGAAAATCATGATGACAAGAATCTTGGCTCATAAACCTATAAGCTAAAATTTTAGCTTACACATCAGATGGGACACAATCTCAGACGCAAGAACTTCTACGAGTACACAAGAACTTCTACCACTACGCGTGCGACATCAGATGGGACACAATCTCAGACACAAGAACTTCTACCACTACGCGTGCGAAAAACCTAAGCATACGAAGAACATAATTGTTCCTGACTCCAAATCGGTATCTCACCTTTTCCAACCAAATCCGTGTGAGAAAACTGCGCACCAAGGCCCATTACTCGCGGCGGTCTTGTTGTTGCATCCAATTCTAGGCATGCACCCGGATCCGGACGGTCTCGCCCAAGATCGACGTCCATCTTTTTCGATTCCCAGGAAATAACGCTCCAGTCAAACTCCAAAGACACAACACGCATAGCTGTGCTCAAAACAAACTTGCTGCCAGCTTGAGCAGTCCACTGAAATTCAGGCGCGATTTCGGTTTCTCTGGGTACATCGATCCGGGATTCCATTACCAACGTTGATCCATCCTCGATTTTTGCTTATCTTAGAGCAGAGGGACTATTTTTCTGATGACTTGATTCTACTCGTGGCAGTGCATTGTAAATAAGGATGTATGATTTCCCACACGCCTTCTCCCAGCTAATCCATCCTGGTGCTAAATGCCTCTCCGTAAAAGATAGAAAGTCAGGTTAAGCGGAATTCGAATTTCTTGCTTCATATTCGTGCTCTGCAGCTCGTTACCCATCTTCGCTGAATCTGCTATCGTATTTACCTCCCTCATCAATTCTCGCAGCGACGGAGCTTCGGTTGCCTCCGAAGCGCTTGTAGCCGAAGAAGATAGCTTCTCGTGATCACCATCGCTCTGAAAATCCTCGCTGGTGTAGACGATCAGTTCTCCGGATACTGACAGACTTGCTGGAGGTAACGATTGCGACTCTGCTATGCCTCGTGGCTTCTTCTTCTTGGAGTCCACCTTCTCATATTCCGCATCACTGTTTTGCCCAACAAGTAGTGGAACGAATTTCGATCGCGGGTGCGCTGTGAAGCGGTAATTCCCAAACGCCTCTTTGGTTGCCCACCAATTCACTTGTGCCCGTACACCATGGAAACGCCAAGTGTGCAACAAGTGCGCACCGTGATGACACGAAGCATCTTCCACTTCCCGTCCAGCATCTGTGGTAGTTGCGGCCAGGCACTTCTTGGTACTGGTGTCTCCACCTGCTTTGTCAAGACCATTGTTGTTGCGCACCTCGATATCGAATCCAATACTCGACTCAGCGTTCTTCGGCGGTGTCAATCGCAGAAAGCGTTGTCCACTGCAGTCGTTCGCAAGTAAGGCAAACCCGAGAACGAATGCTGGTAACAAAGGTGACATGATTAATACAGTAGGATTTTTTCACTATTTTGAACATCTGGAGGTGGGTCCACGCCTCCGCAAACTTCACAGTATAAGCAGTAATTGACTGAGCAAATAGCAGGCGGGAAACTACTAGCATATCTGACACACATCTCGTTCAGCAGTCTTTCACTCGGTTCGCTTTCTCTTGAAGAGGACCTGCTCGCACCATCTTGATATGAACGCCTGAGGTAATTGCTTCGAGAACTTCTATCTCGCATTTCGTTTCCTGTCACTGCACTTCTAGTAGTAACATTGAGTTTACGTACAGAAAAAGTAGTTCTCCGACGTGACACCTTCGCAAAAACATCCTTCGATAACCCTGCAAAAGTAGAAGCCAGCAACGTCTTTATTTGCAGTATGTGGGTTCATCTTCCCGTTCTCAGAACTCAATCATGATTCACAGATATGAATTGCAACGTCAAAGACGCCGCTGCTATGTCTAGTAGATTATTTTAAGCTAATAACGACTTTGATGAGTACGAATTTCTTACAATACCAGGTAGAAGGCTAAATATTCATCAGGGAAAATCACAAGCACAGTGAAGCTTTACTTGGTTGGTCAGAGTCAGAAACTGTAGTTTCCAATTAGTGATAGTTGATATCAAGCAATACAAATTGCAGTCAAGCAATGTAAGTATCGAATCAAGTTCGAAATCTTCCAGTGTTAGCAAATCAGGACTCATCAGAAGTATTCGGTTCTTTAGTAGTATGATGTGGAATGCTAGAGATATGACATGGTCACGAAATTGGTGTTGTGATTCACAGCATCGGATCACTTGGAGTGGATGCACACAACGCATCGCATCGCATCCACAGGGTAGTTTAGGCACAATTAAGAACACGGCCACTGACCGTCTCTGGTGTAGTCTCGGTTCATCCGACCACGCCACCTCTTAGCTGAGACATCCGCGATGGAGAAAAAGACCACATCTCGTGTCATCCGACAATTTCCTTACGCGCCTTCGACGGCTGCTGCCGGAGCAGCATCGACTTCTTGAATCAACTTAGCAGCTACCGCATCACCCTCTTTTTGTTTGAGTTTGTTTGGTCATGAGGAAAGGACTTTGATGTGTATCAGAGATTATTTCTATGAAACCTTTTTATCGAGGTCATGAAGAGGTGATCAATGTTTGTCTTGGAAGTGAAAAAGTCGTCCCATAGAAGAAGTAGAAGAACTTGCAACACATAGTAGTACTACGATCATCCCGTATTCTGTATCCAACTACTATATTCAGTCGGTTTCGTAGATTCCTACAATTCTCAGCTTCTAGATCCTATGTCTAGTACATCAAATCTCTAGTCTCTCGAATCTCTGTAAACAAAAACTATTCTGAAACAAGACCGTCACTGTTATAGTCGAAAAATCTCGGAAACTTCCCTTCAGATGACCACTAGAATGATCTATACCAGCTCATCATGAGCACTAGAATGATCTGTTACCAGTGGCTTCCGCTGCTGGTTTCTCGCCTTCTTCGCCACCAACTGGAGCATCGAGATCGGGAAGGTCGTCGTCCTCATCGTCGCTGTCTTCATCACCACCCATGCCGTCCATACCTGGCATGCCACCCATGCCACCCATATCTCCGCCACCCATGCCGGCCATTAATTTACCTGTATCGGGGGAAAGGAGGGAGAGATGAGGAATTGAGTCTAGTACTGTGCCAGATGATACGTCGGTATCCTACTTGTTACAAAAGCAAAGGAATAACGAGGTGGAAGGATTTTTCACGTTTTAGGGAAATTTTTTTTCAGAGATAGAACATCATAGGTGAACGTTATCATAGTACGACGATTTTACTAGAGCTATCATGAGCCATTATTCCACTCAAGCAGTCCAAAATTATCATCTCAGAAACATCATGGCAACATTGCAATAAAGTCGGAGCTCACAACGTGAAGATAAGAGATCTGATTAGTATGTATACGCTTTGAAGTTCCATATCTACAAGAAAAAGTACTGAAATCCATGCCGCCCATTCCTGGCATGCCTCCCATGCCGCCCATTCCTGGCATGCCTCCCATACCGCCCATACCTGGCATGCCTCCCATGCCGCCCATACCTGGCATGCCTCCCATGCCGCCCATACCTGGCATGCCTCCCATGCCGCCCATTCCCGGCATGCCTCCCATGCCTTCCATACCTGAAAATAGTTGGAAACAACCAGTATTGAGCACTGTTGTACTACGGTACAAGAAGCTGCTAGTTATATAAATACATTCAGCTTCAGGTCCGCAAGGGATGAATGTGCGCAGCCGCGGGTTTGCTCTGCAATCTACTACTTTCTCATGTGTAGTTGCGGATATTTTTCTTGTACTGAAGAAAGACGAACAATAAGCAGGGAGCCCTTTTTAGACAAAAAAAGGGCTGATTTCTTTAGGACAACAGATCACACAATAAACAGGCGTTCTTTCAAACAATAGGCGTTCTTTCAAACAATAGGCGTTCGTTCAAACAATAGGCGTTCTTTAGGACAACACGTGGCGTTCTTTCAAACAATAAAAACAAATTACATGAACAATTAGTACCTGCAGTATCGAAGTCTTCTCCCTCGTCGTCGCTATCAACCCACTTGTTCCAGTCGATCTTGACGTATGGCAGCTTCGCCTTACTCAGTCTTGGCCATGAGTCCTCCTCTTTTTTCTTCAAAACCAATTCTATCACCCGCTTTTCTGTAGGATAATAAGAGAGATCGATTTTAATCGAATAACTTGGAGATTTTTCGAACAGACGGGATAGGAGGTTTGTATTCAATATATATTCCAGGGAACATAGGGTGATGTCGTTGTTGGTACATAGGAGGTTGTTGTTGTTGGTACATAGGAGGTTGTCGTTGTTGGTACATAGGAGGTTGTTGTTGTTGGTGGGTATTGTAGGGGACATAGGAGGTTGCTGTTGTTGTTGTTGTTGTTTTCGATGCGTTTTCTATGATGGAAACTTCTCATGAAGTCTTAAGGGATGCCGCGTAGAGTCGGTGTCTCTACATCGAATCACACACCAAGAATGGTACAGGTAGTTGTAAACAGCAATGGCACAACTAATTAGTTGTTGTCCTTCCAGGAGATTTGGGACACTAGGGGTTGTTGTGGTACTATGATTTAGGTAGTTGTTGTAGAAGGTAGTACCATTTATCTTGCTCTCCTCCTACTTGTACTTATCGACTAAATAATTGTAGAAGCAAATTTGTCTTAGTACTATTTATCTTGCTCTCCTCCTTATCGACTGCGGCGTGAAAGTCGAAGTTGAACTCGTAGGTTTTTCCAGAGGATTCTCCTTTAAACTTCAAACTGCTGTCGTCAAGGTCAATCTCAGGCTCTTTGCAATCCTTCACGTCAATAGTCATGAAGACCCATCCTGGTCGCTGAGCCCAGAGGATACTTGGTGTGTTCGTAGCAGCCGTCATTTTTTTTCCTTTCTGTTTCTTCTGGGTCCTAAGTACTTCTTAAGCTGAAAAGTTGTTGTTGACTCTCAGAGAGTGGTCTTTAACTATTATTCTATGAAATAGTCTTTGCGCTAGGTGGAATCGACCTGGAAAGATTAATTTAGAACAATTCGTGACGAGCTCTAGTTGCAAGCTGGTTCGAATTCTGCCGTTGGATCCAAATCACGCCGTAGTTCTCAATGACAGGAAATTCTCAATCGTCGTTCATCAACGGCCGCTGTACCATCATGCGACCAGCATGACCTACATCAAGATTGTAATTTTAGTACTGGTGATCGCATATAAATTCAGATTTTATTGCAGGTGTCAGGTACGAGAACCGCCGAGTGGAGATATTATCCAGAGCAGCAAGCTGGTAGAGACCTAGAAGATCTTCTGGAAAAAGCCACCACACTGATACAGAATGAGGCTCCAGAGCGCGGCTCCGTTCTTAGGTTAGTTCGACGATGACGTAGACCACAAGGGAGAACATTGTTGGCGTCCACGACTGCCAGTCAGCACTTCATCTAGGCAGGATTTTCAGTAGTTCACTTTTGCAGAAATTCAAATCACTGTGATGAGTTTGGATATGATTCTATATTTCGCAAACGCTGTCGTGCTTAGAATTAGAAGTAGGTGCAACATTTTCGTATGGATATTAATCCGAAGCATTCAATCTTCCATCCGTCGTTAAGACATCATACGACTCCGAAAAACTCCATGTTATTTGTATGGCACTTTATACTTCGGATCCATGTGTGTCAGCAAAAAACAACAAAGATGTAGCTTGTAATCAGAGCACACGACGTACACGATGTCACAGACAATGGAGAGGGCGGTAGTACCACCAAGTCGAAGTCACAAGCTAAATTCGGGGATGATTTTGGAACAATATCAAATGTAGACTTGGTACTTTCAAGTCACTGTCCCTGTAATTCCCCATTCGTGAGGCAGTAAAAATGCTGTTTCGAGGGTCCCCAGTCGCTTCCAAAAACCTTATAGACTCAAACGTTCCAACAAGTTCGTCCGGGAGCACTCGTCCTCTTCCGTTAAGTACTCCATTACGTAGAAGGATCACTAACTGCAGACTATATAAAGAAAAATATATCACCTCCATCAAGACACAACTTAACCAAAAAATGCGTGTAGACCCTAGAAGTTTAAGAATAACAGAAATTACACCTATTCAAGTACCTACAACTGCATCATAGGCTAGCACCTACAGCTGATTGGGACGTTTTATTTCATGAATGTAGCTCGTGCCAATCCTGCCATCGAAGGCGATAGGGTCGGTTAGGTGCGAATCCACGTAAAATGAAACGCCAACAAGACATTATCGCTTGTCCGCAAAACTATGAAAGAGAAATCTTGTCTGTTCTTACAAACATGAGACCAAATACGCCGACTCCAACTTAGACGATGAGTGTCTCCTTCTGCAGCATCGCGTTGATCAGCCGAAATGTCATGCGTGTGGTTCTGTCGCAGTCCAACATAACCACCTAAGGGACAATATTGCATAGAAGCTATGGCCTAGCACCCCCTATAAGCTCTATGATGACGATGATGATTGTACCTGCTCAAAGCAAAGCTATATTCATACTCAAAATAGATCTGGTGCCTACGTAGATTTTTTAGTCACTTATAAATGATAGATGGATGCTACGACAGAACAAACATGAATCACGCTTCCAGCCGATAGACATCAAAGAATATTCTCGAACAAAAGCATAACGGGTTAAATGTATTGTCCAATTGTGCAATTTAGTGTCCATCATGTAAAGTAGACTGAAGACGATCATGATGAAAGCATGTTATTGCTAATGATAGTTAGAAATCGTGATATAGAAAAACGGCGCCATCAGTAGACTGATTCTGATAGTTGAACAACAAATTATAAAAGTAGCAATTTTGGACATGGAAAAATCGAAACATGGATATGAGTACTTACGCAATAAAATTCTTTTGCCAAGGATGAAAATATATGTCATACGTTCAAATCCATTGACCCTTAGATCGTTAGTAGGCAAAATTTGGCATTGTAAGATATTATCTAGCTGATCGACTTGAAATTCAGCAGGGTTACTCCTCGCCCCCACCTAGTATTATAATGCCACTTGTCACACAGCAGGACTTCCACAACGCCACTCCCTACAGGACTTCCACGACGCCACTCCCTGCAGGACAGCCTTTTTTACTAAGAGGACTTCTAAAGTACACCCTTCGTTCACGGAGAACTATCAGGTACTTGCCCCGTTAGAAGAAGCTAGTCCATCCCAACATCGTGATTTCAGCATCTTGTACTCCTAAAGCCTTCTTAGTCCAATTTTTGGTAGTTATCCAAGAATTCCAACCCTTGTTAAAGCCTATTTCTATTAAGGGTCGGTCTCTAACTAGTTCCAGCCAGGCGTCTAAGCCTTAACTAGCTATAGCCCTCCTGCTCTGTGACCTCTGAGTCCCCCTCAACCCTAAACCAACCCAAACTAGTAGTAACAGCCAGCCACACTTTTTAGGAGGAACTAGCTGCGGCCGCGGAACTGCTCCCTTTCTCCTGTAGTTGCGGAGCAACACTGCTCCCACCGCTCTTTTCCGCCGAAGCCTCGAAAAGCCCACTCGCGCGATCGTCAGCGCGGATCTTTTGCGCAACAACGAGGATCACGCTATTGCCCTCTTGCTCATAATCCGTTAGAAGAGACAGAGAATGCGAGACTACGATTCTTCTCTAAAGTCCCTATCCAACTACGCCGAAGAGCTGCTACGATGCAGCGGCGGGGGTACGGTAAGGTACTCTCAACACCCATTGTCATTCTACGGGTTGCCGTGAAGAACTTCTGAACAAGCTAAAGGGGGACAAAGAATGTGAGAAGGAATGAGCTCGAACTCGTGTACTAGAAGAATTTTCCAAGCTCCTGAAGCAACAAGGTCGTCTGTAAAAAAATGCATGGCCAGTACTGCTCACTGTTCTTTGAGGTAATATTATGCTAAAATTATAGACAGCATAAGTTTGGCAGCGTCTCGCAGACATGGATCCTCCAGAAGGTTCTATCAGCCAGCATCTCCACCATCGCCGCTGTGTAATCTTGTGTCCCAATGTGCACGTAATACCCGCCGCAGGGCAAATTTTCGGCTATGCGCAGATTCGAAGAAGAGGTATGTATAATTCTAGTCCTCACTCTTTCATTCATTAGTGAGGAACCACGTGGAAACCTGAGCTGCCTGATGATGATGTACCTAGTTCTAGAGTGCTGTTCATCTTTATGCTATATTATAGTATAAAGAAATGATAGAACTTGAAACTTGTTGATACCCGCTTCGCGATGCTATATTGACATATTGCGAGTCGTCATCTAGAATTTGTTCATTTCTCGTAAGAAGAAAGGAGACCACGAACTGCGCTGCGCTGGGAATGGCTTCGTTAGAGGTTACGGACTTGCATATCTCAGAGCATCCCTGGCTTGGAAAGGAGCATAGGAAAAAGTTTCAAACTAGTAGGAAAAAGGCGAAGGAAGGAAAAAGAGAAAGGGAAAAGCGCCAAGGATGGTTTACGACTGGGGAATGTAACTCGGTGGAAACGAGCCTTAACTTCGAACACCTCGATCACCGAACCGAGGCCTCCCTTGCTAAAAGCGGAAATTTCCTCTTGTTTATCGGCAAACGCTTTCGCGGGAATGCCTGCCTCGACCAACTGGTCTGCACATTAGATAGTTCTAAAAAGTTGTCCCCCAGGAGATGGAGACGTTTATTATCGTATTATCTTCTTGTAGAGGCCTTCCCGCGATGTCAATCACTTCTCACCATGGATTGGAATGATTTACGATTGGATGAGATTACTCCCTTAAGGCAAGCGACCCGCGCGACGACCTCCGACCACGAGTACCGTTCCGCCACTCTCCCGAAAGCAAGGCTCTAGGTACTGGCGGATGCTTAGAGCTTGATTGTAGACTATCTGTAATATCCCTATAAGATATCGGAGCCGCGCACGATTATCGCTAGACATCTCCAAAAAAAGGAGAACTTCTGCAACAACAGGAGCAGAGGTCAGCCTCAAAGGAACAGCATTATTAGTAGAAGTAGTAGTCAGAGAAGTCTCTGGTCTGCCTTAAAATATAGCCTCCAAACGCGTAAGGGCGCAACAGCCTCGCTGTCCCTTCGGGTGCTGCCGCCGAATAATCCGTGAACATCGAGTGGCACATTGCAGGGTCGTGACCCTCAACCCAGGCGTTAGACGAGCGATAGGGAGTAGACTATTCATTCATGTGCTACACCCTGGCGACCTCTGAGCCTATGGGCAGTCTCCAGTGGTTGCAGATAGAAACTATTGCTTCGGGAAAGCATGATATCAAAGTTATGTCTAGAAGTCCATTTCCCTAGTACGACTGCTATGATGACGCTACAAGTTGTAACGTATGAATTGAGATGAAAGACTACTCTATCAGATTCAACTCTTATTGCATGAAGGGATACACCCAAGAATAGAGGGAAAACTACTCTGATTAGTTGTAATGTAATCTCCACGTAATGTAATCTGGGTGAGTGGACGTGGAGCCACTAGCGCGCTCTCCTGACGCGACAGCACTTGTGGTTTGTGGATCACGACTTTTGATGTCTACAATTCCAGTACCGCTGCCGCCAGCGTCTTCGGGGATACTCATGTATAAAAGGGAGTGTTCTTGTCTACTCCCCTCAACTACAGACAGGGGATCGAGGCTCCCCCTTATGGCCACTATAAACAGTATTTTAAACAGGGGACAAGCAGGGACAGCCTAGAAAGATCGTCTGTCATATGGGAGACAAAACATCATCCTCCATATCATTCCTGAGAGCTGGTTCTTCGCGACGTGACGCTTGCGACGCTCCTTCAACTCTGCATCGACTCCTCGGAGCAAATTCATGCGGTCCTCGTCTGAGTTAGAAGACCACAAAATCACTACACTTTCTCTTGAGACTCATCAAAATTCTTTTGACGTAGTTCATCTTTCAGTTCCTCTTATTGATTGCAGGGACAGCCAAGGATCATCATGATTGCCATACCACTCCCAGATAATTGTTGAAACATTTCTTAAGTACCTTCCCTAAAAACAACTAGTATTTCTATTTCAATCTACTGATCGAGGAAGGGATTACTCTCTTGGGCTACTTTGCCCTAACGTCAAGTCTAGTCCGAAGCCGTTTGACCCCTTCTTCTGCGAGGTAGGTAGCGTGAGCAATACTGTCGTCGGACTGCCGAATACGCTTCAACAGAGGACCCGCCGCAATGTTGTGTTCCTGTTCTCGGTGAATCTTAGACAATATTTGTGTGCTTGTTTCATCATCCGAAGGTTTAGAAGATCTTTCTCTTTGTTACACATAGTACAGTTTGTTCGTCCGTAATTTTGTCACCCATGGCGCTTGCAGGGCCCGTCGTACCCACATGAGTGTCATTTGACGCAACTCGGGTCGTGCGTCGACTCCCAATGAGGCCGAGCCTGCTCGAGGATCGCGCTTCGCTATCTGGTGTCGCGCATCTGAGTGCAGGAACAGGATGTAGGACCAAGCCGCCTGTCCGGAAAAAGTTAGAACTGTATGGATCAACTGTCCGATGTTAATCCTATAAGTACTTCTTACCCCTGACTAATCTATTCGGCGAGCTGCCTAAGATTTCCCTGACGAGTTCTACCACTATCAGACGTACTTCTTACCACTATCAGAAGACTAATGAGGTTGAGAATTACATCAGATCGTAAGTACTTACGTCGTACTTACCACTATCAGATAGTATTATGTAAATTGTTCATAAGGAAAGCGGGACTTCGCCAATCTTCAGTGACTACAGTTTCGTCCTCGTGGGGGGCATGGATGTCAGTGCCAATCGCACGTAGAGTGTCCCTGTACGACGGGATCATGTCGTATCCCCGACCGTAGGGCTGCACCCACTGCTGGGTCAGCGTCGACTTGCCACGCGCACGCAAAATGACAACCGCAGGCAGGAAGAAGTATCTACCAATCAACCGGCGCATCAGTGCGCGCTCAGGGAGATTAGAGCTGTCCTCTTCGCAGTAGTAGTTGCATCTTCTCTGGATGCAAGAGCATCCTCTCTGGATTCAAGAAAAAGGATCAAGAATAATCTTCCTGTTTCTAGGACCAGTATGGAAGAAATCACAATAGCATAATCTTCCTAGAACCAGTATAGAAGAAATCATAATAATCGCTCTGGCAGATTATCCTTGGCCTTAACAAGAGTGGCATCGACTTCTACAAAAAGTGCATCTCGCCCATAGCGCACAGCCGCGAGTCGGTGCATCTCGCTAAAAGCCTTGCAAATGCGACACGAAGGTAGAGGGATTAGAAAGGGAAGGGAAGCTACGGTGACCGTCTACTTCTTGAAGAACTTCTAAAGGCATTGGCTGAAGCGACTAACCTAAAAGTTATGAAGGAAAGCTAACCGGTTAAGTTTCTTTACGTGCTGTAGGATACTTTTCAGAGCGCTCTAGCTCGTCTACCAAGAGTTCATGCTGTTGCTCCGTCAGCCTGTATCAGCCTGTTTGGATTGAAGTGACTTGGTACTAGACTGTGTTGAATAGGACTTGATAGTATCAAGATGCCGTAATACTAAGAGTATCACGATGATACCCCGCTGATCTTCGGTAGCTCCATCCTTCACCTCTGCTCCGACTGTATTGGTAAGAAAAAAAGTTGTTCCTGAATTGTCCTTGAAGCATTCGAGTGACATTACTGTCAAAGGGACGTTGTTGAAAGATGCATCTAAACTTGTTCTAGTTTCATACATCAGTTATAATAGAAGAACATACTACATTTCTGTTTCTCAACAATTACGCATCAAGAACGTGTTGGGGAGGGTGCGAATCGTCCCAGTAACTTCTACCGAATACTAGCATACTAGTACAACGTGGTAAAAACATATGTTATGCCAGAGCCAGCGGTAGCATTATTACCTGACCGGGACCCTGCGATGACAGCGTGATCGCCCTCGTCATTCATTCCAGAATCAGAAGAGTGATAAGAAGCTTTGTCTGTGGTACATTAGAAGTGATCCTTATTTGCATCTCCTAAGGTAGAAAAACTGCGAAGGCCCACCCGCCCTTCAGATACTCAGCCACACATTTTCCCACATACAACACCGCTACTCATGACATCGCCCAAGCCCGTAAGTAGTAGGTACTAGGAGTAGTAGTGTGCCCACTCATGGGGTATGGATGCAGTAGTGTGGTAGCAGTATTTTTAACCGCTTAATATAATTCTTAGGTATAGTTGTGGTGGAGCTGTCCCAACTAGGAAAAAACACAAATTCTTAGGTATAGTTTTAAGTAGCCTTAAGTTGACACGGCCATGCGAAATAGCTGCTCCGCTAAATCTGTCGTGTTCCCGATGTTAGACAGGTTTCGGACGTGCCTACCATTCACAGCCTCATCGAGGGCGTGGCGGGACCTTTCGTCCACGGACACCAAACTTAGAAGGACCGAAGTATTACTATCCTTCTCGATCGGCGCAGTCTTAGTACTACTACAGGGTGACGCAGTGGATGATGGAAAGATAGTCATTAAGTCATCTGAGAGAACTCTAGGAGACTGTGAACTCTTCACTGCATACAGTCCACATCTTTATCTTTTTCCTCATCATCTGCTTCCATTTTGCTCCTTGAAAACTAACAGTGAGCTCACGACCCATAATGGGCTCAAAGAAGATGGGCCATTAATGAGATTGACCTAGGACTTTTCAAAGTCAGTATTTGTATGGGCTATGAAGTGCTGAAGCCTTAACAACCGCGTCTGGAGCAAGTTCACGAAGTCACTCTCGGTTCGCAACCCACACAACATTACGTTGTTCAGACTGTCTGGCGTCGTCCCAAGAACAGAGAACGGAGACCCACCTGACGAAATGGCGCATGACGGGAGACCACCGGACGAAAGTGGCGCTTCTAGTCCCATTCTTAGACGATGAACAGAGAACGCTTGCTAGTGTTACTGGAATGAGTAAAAGCGAACAAGTAAAAGAACATCCAGGGGAGCAGAAAGCCCAAAGAGGATGCGCCTAAGCAGAAATAAGTTAAAATAGATACAAAATCTTCATGCAGCACAAATCAAAAAAGCTTCAGTGTAAACCCCACCACTTACATAGAAAGTGATCTCGTATAAGCCTTAGAGAGGACCGAAGAATGAAACCACTCTTCTATGAAAGACAAAAGAGTATAAATCATTTCTGATTCTGTATCTTTGCAAGAATAACTTTTTCTGCGAGGAAGTATTGTCCTGCGAAGAAGTAGTGCCCTGCGTCGTCTCAACCACCGGCACCGCTTCAGGTCGCATAACCAAAAATCCACGCAGAGCGTCCTTATTCTGCGAAACCGTGCCATCGCGGTAGGGGAAGCTGCTTCCATCATACAGAGTGTCTTGATTACTCCCACAATTTAGCAGATCTATGTCATGACTCATTCATTCATATTTGACGAACCACGTGACAACGTAAGCTGCCTGATTCCGTCGTACTCAATTGACATACAAACATGATCAGAAACAACAAGTCCTCTGATGCAAGCTGCGTACTATAATAGATTTACGTTGTTATACGCTCAAGAAATACATGTCAGGAAGTCTACGACCACTATGCAACGCAAGTTGTAGCAGGAGTCAAGTCATCTTCATCTTTCGCTGACCATGATCAATCATCTTGGCGCCATAAGACTTGCAAGCGCGCTGGATGCCAATACATTGTCATTCGTTGCTGGATCCTAGGCGCAAAGGCCTCGTAGACGAAGACGGACCTTTCTCGGGACGGCCCACTCGAGAACAGAGCCGACATTGCCTCAGCGTCCACTTGCAGCACGTCCGACAGCGTTGGCAATCTTAGAAGACTAAATGAGATAGCCACATAATAGTCTCTATCTAGAAGCACTACCCATATACTTAATACTGGAAGACTGTAAATCTAGGAAGCCTTAACAAAGCCGAGTCATTTTCCACCGCTGCCGTGTTCAACTCGGTCAGGCGAGGAGTGTCGCAAATAGCACTGCTCACCACGCTGGTCGCCTCGCGATTAGCATGTAGGATTTCGGTTTGCTTTATCCTATTCTGTGAAGTATCCCATAACATGTACTCACAAAATGCAGCACATTCATAGTGTAGTTACAACTCTATTTGTTAGAAACTATTCTACGCATTGTCGCATAACAGTAGTGGGTGCTGTCACGACCGGCGCGCCAGCATTCAACGCGTCGCGAGACTTGAGCAAAAAGTTTCTTCCTGGGCCATTCGAAAAGAGCAAACTCCATTCCTTTGGCATAGGTCCTTGCATCTCTATATGGAAAGCCGGCAACCCATGGAGAGACACCGTTTGCACGTCAACACTTTTTTCATTTTTAGACCGTAAAGCTACTCATCTTGGGAGTCCTCTGTTGGGTGTGTGCCCCTTAGAAAAAGGGGCCAAAGATGCATCTCAAGAAGATGAATTACGGTAAGCCTTAACATTTTCGTCATGCGTTAAAATGCTGGCAACGAGGTCAGCGAAGTTACGCAAAAACATCACCTTCTCTTAGAAGAGCTCACAAAAATCATTTTTGTTCATCATTTTCTTTTAATTTAAGAGGTCATGCACATAATCATAATCCAAGAAAGAGCTGTCATATGAAGATTGCCCCGTGTTTCAGTTCAAGGACTAGAAACCCGAAAACAAGATGACGTGAAGGTGAGAAGTACTAAAAAATGTGCAGAAGAAAAGCAATTCTTATAGCGAGGAGCCTTAATTCTCCTCGTCCACGTCCTCACGAGGAACGGTGTCGATCACACACAAAGCGCCCACACGCGTACCCCTCACCACGATCGGCGCACCACAATAAAATCGGATGAAAGGCTCCCCAAGGACGAGCGGCGAGTTCTTGAATTAGAACCAGGCTAAGTTAGGTGTTGGTTCGCCGTCCACAGGGTGACCTGTACCGTCAAACGTTCCCATCTTCCTTGCGAGTCATATCCTTTTGAGGGCTTCTTTTTCCAGTACTAGAGAAAGAGCCAGGGATGATGCTTCCGAAGATGGAAGAGGAAAAGCCTTTGCTTTAGCGGTTATAGCCATAATTGAAGCGGGGATCACGTGTGGCGTCAGGCACATACAAGATTTCAGGCGTGGACGGCAGCAAAGTGTGAGCACAGAAGAAATTAGAGAATACAATCCATTCTTTCACAAGATCACGCACACATCACATACAAATTACAACACACTGATGAAAATGAATCAATGTGAATTATAAGGTCGACAACGAAAAGTTAGGACTTCCACGAGGCAAAAAAAAAACCTCCTTCACTAGACGAAAATTACACTCAGTAAGTAAGTACTTCTTCTAGGTCGTCGACAACGAGCAGAACTTACTACAACTACTACAACTACAGCCAAGTGGGCTTCCTTAAAAGAAACTTCACGGCTAGTGTGGTCGGAGCCCAGCTGGCCGATGCAGGATTTCCACCATTGATACTGGCCACCTACGACCGAGATCAAAGCAATCGGCGTGTCAAAAAAATGGGAAATCATTGCCACAACCTCGTCACACTGCTGCTCTTGCTCTTGGTTACCTTAGAGGTGCAAAGGAATCCTCAAGCTCTGGGAACAAGGTAGTTGTTCACTCGATCAATCAATCGAGGTACTTGTTCACTCGAGGTACTTGTTCACTCGAAACGAGCTCAATCAATGAACCGTATGCGGACTGACGAATCAATCTTCAGGTCTTAATTATCGAATTCGCCGGGTCGCAACGCAGGCAGGGCTTCCATCAAGTGAAGGCGAGCTTCCTCATCAGAGGGCAATATGGCTCCCTCATGCGTACTGGTGCTCGGCACATCACCTGCTTCATCTTCACATGCCGCTTCGGCACACGAACTCCCGCCATCATCGTTGCCAGTTTAGAGGCTGAAGAAGATGTCGACACATAAGGTGGATAATCTCTCTTTATTCTGTTTCATGAAGGGAAACTCTAAGGCTTGCTAGACGAGGGGAAGCTAACTGGTTCAGATTTCAGTCTACTCAAGCAGATCCAATGAGTAAGCTTGTGAACCTTAGATAGTCAAAAAGACATATTCCACTTGAGATGAAAAAAATCCAGATCACAGGACAGAGATCCCATGAACAATTTGAGAAGTAGGCCAGCAAAATTGAAATTTATAAATATCTCAATAACGCAGTCCTTAACAGTTTGGTCCCGTGACGCAATCCTTGCTTCCTCCAGTTGTCTGCTGTCCGGCCGCTTCGGCTGACGGATTCGCGTGTAGGTTGCCGCGGGAAGAGGTGATATCACTTGTTCTCCTGCGGGTACCACAACGACGCGAGTCCCGCATAGTAGTTCCTCCACTTTGTTAGAGCTCACTCATCCCAGTCGATATCTCTCAGAGTCCATCCTTGGGCCAGTGCTTTCCCGTTGACTGTTTTCCAGTTGAAAACGTCTCTCCCAGGATGCCTTCTCGGAAGATGGACCATTAGGGAAAACCTTCCTAGATGGTTCTCAAGATGAATTAGCACAAGCCTCAACTTTGATTGCCTGCGACGTCTGAGGCAGCGCCAGTGGCACAGCACCCTCGTGCCGCGTCTTCTTGTTGTTCTTTGAGCTGACGCTGTTGAGCCTTTAACTTTTCTTCGTCAAGGTGAAACACGTCGCGTTCATCCATCCACGTAGAATCTTCACCGCGAAGTTGCTCACTGCGCTGTCTCATTTGCTGTAGCCGCTCTGCGACGTTACTCGCCGTCGCCGCTTCGACTGTCTTCGCTGTGGCCTCTCTGGCCAACTCCCTCGCCAACTGACCGGGGCCTTGCAGGTTGTTCGGGTTGAAAACTGAATCCGCGTCCATCGCATTCGGATCAGATCCTCTTGTAGTTGCTTAGAGCTCAACTACGCTGCTCATTTCCTGCCTCATTTTTTATTGTAGTGCCATACTTATCCGAAAGGGAAGAGCCTGCAGCCCTCCCAATCACTCCTACGAAAGAAATACCAAAGAAGGAAATGCAAATAATTGTCCTAAGAAGTAGGAAATACAACTTAATAGGGAAAACAACCAATTCATAGTCTGAAGAAGAAAATACAACCAATTATCCTAAGTAACAAGGAAATACAAATAAGGAAACATGCGTATTAGAAATGAACTGTACTGAGCCTTAACTTGTAGTTCCCGCCTGACCTGCTCGTAGACTTGCCGGAGGGGAGCGTACCACGGACGAGCCAATGCTCGCGAGGGTTGACACGCGTCGGCCTCGAGTAGAAGGGACCGCGGACGACGCAGGAGGGGAACTCGATAATTAGATCAGGTTACGGAATCTTTACGTCATTCATCAGAACATGATCACTGGCTCCTTTCCTATTGGGAGGAAATTAGCCAAGTCAAGGATAGTATTGCGGAATGTAATTCGGAAAGCCTTAAGATAACGACGTTCCGTTGTTGGCTCCGAGTTGGAGTTGTGCGAGAGCATTCTCTGTTTTAGTTGTCATGATGTTAGTAGAGGGCTCGCCGCCTCCCGCGGTGCTGTTGTTGACATTAACCTGTTTTGCCACTTCATGACTTAGAGGTTGCGATATTGCACTCCTCAAATCACCCTTTTGACCCTTTTCCTACTGCAAAATGAGTGGAGGATGGTAGTGAAGAATGCAATGTCGAAGCCCTTAAATGACCCTCCTCCTTCTCCAGTTGGTGGGGAGACCTTTCTTGCTTGCTACTATAATGCTGTTTCCCAGCCAGACCCTCTGGTAAGGGCGATCTGCTGCCCTTAGAGGACGAGCCAGCGTTTCCGGCGTCTGCTGACTTAGAAGACTCTACGTCAGCTCTTCAAGACCAGTGGTACAGGTACACGTACATAACATAATTGATGTTTGAGATTGTGAGTAAACTTACTTTATACACTCATGTTTGAGTAAACTTTACACTCATGGTTGAGTTCAATCAGTATCTTGTCACGTTTATTTCGCATTCGTAATAGATGACGCTGGGCTGCGTGCGGGTGCAGACGTTTCGTCTCCGGGAGGTTCAGCTTCTTGATCTATTAGAGAACAATAATAGTGTAGTCTCTAGCCTTCAGTGATGTTTTAAACGCCTGCTACGTATGAGTTTCCATCGGAACTTCGTTCTCAAAGAAACAAAAAACTCTGTACTTACACGCAACATTCTCACCGGTATCAGTGTTTGAATGCTTACTATTATGGCATGCTCATAATGAAGATCATTTTGCAGATTCAGATAGTTATATTACTTATTTTGGATCTCCCGTACGCATACCTCATTTTTCCCCGTCGTTTCCGTTTCTTTGGTGGCTCCCTTTTTGCGGAAGGCTGTAGATGTGCCGTTCACTGCGTTTGCATCAGGGTTCGTAGCAAAGGACGATGGCCTGGCCGACGATGTGCCGGGACTTGTGACGAAGAAAGGTCCAGCCGATGACGACTGCGTCGTTCCAGTCGTAGGATTTTTGGTGCCGAAGGATGGGGATGAGGTTGCTTAGAAGAGCAACCTCTTGCTAAAATTCCAATCTTCATCTAGTTCTAGAAAGTCCTTTCAGCGTCTACTACGTGTGCTCTCTCCGACCCTTCAACAAAGCAAAGAGAAAGATGCCTTTAAGATGTTGTTGCGTTGTAAGATACATACATAGATGAAGCAGATTGTCTGAAAGGATAAGCCTAAGGATAGAGGGAAAACTAAGTAACCGGTTGTGGCTCAAGGATAGATGAAGCAGATTTCTTATGACTCAAAAGATGTTGTTGCCTCTACAACAGTTATCATGACTCTCAAGATGGAGGATGACTCTCAAGCCTTAAGTTGGAGTGTTACTGGCAGAGGATGGTCCCAAGGGAGAGGATGACCCGGATCCGCGAGTTAGCGGCTCCAAGTTGCCTTCTCTAGCTCTGAGCATATCTACGGCCCCCCTTGAACGTTCCCCCTTGAAATAAAGGGCCTAATAATGATATGCTCAACATAGAAAGAGCCCCCCTCACTTCCAAGAGCCCTTAACCGAGAGCAGGGAAGCGGCGCTCTATTAGTAACAGGAGTAGGTGAGTCCCTCGGAGCAACAGGCATCACGCTGAACATGCCCAAGCCCAAATCGCCGCCTCCATCGGATCCTGATGGCGATCCGCGACCTGTATTAGAGCTCCTAATGTGCAGCTTAAGTAATACGTTGACCAATGACAGGTTAGGTTAGGTTAGGTTAGGTTACGGATACAGTGCATGTGGACAAGGCTACACAGCGGCTGCACCATACGAAGCAATAGTAATCACAGGTTATTTTTTATGTAATACGTTTTCCTCTTTGAGAGTGTAGTCCTCTCTTCATATCATCCTTAGTTGGGTCGTGGTGGTGCTTCATCTAAATCACACAAAAAGTAGAAAAAGATGAACCAATGTCGGGGCTTTTCAACTCCCTTAGCAGGTAGTTCTACTTCGGCTCCTTTACTCTTCTTTCTTATTTCCACGACCTTTTTCCACTATTAAAGACTAAAGAAATGCCCAATGTGATTCAGAACACGGACTGTGACTCAGACTCCTTAACTGTGGATGATCCTGCGTTTTGTGTTCCTCTGCTTGCGCTGTTCTCCTCTGGAGCTGGAGCCACTCTGGAAGCTTTCTTTTGCGAAGACGACGAACCTGAGGAGCCTTTAAAAACCTTCGGAAACATCGGCCGCAAGGCTGATACAAAGACAAAACTCCGTCGGCGAGACCCTCCAGCATGCGTTGCTTGGCGCGCTTGGTAACTAGGAGCTTGGCGAAGATCGTTATCATGATTTTTAACATGCGAAGACGTTGTAGAAGTTTGTAACGTGTCGGAAGACCTCGAACTCGAAAGAATTTTCACAATATCAACATTATGATTGTTCTTCTTGTACTGCTGTTCAGAGGAAGTAGTAGAATTTGTGCGACCTTCGCATTTGCGAGACACCAGACAAGGAGTTAATGCTGCTGCGGACGACGAGGACGCTCTGGTATCATATGTTTGGTGGTCATAAGAAGAATAGCTGCCGACAGTGACGAGGGCTTCAGCATGAAGATCCTGTAACTCTTCTTCTTGGTCAATTGCACGGTTCCTCGAAGTCTTTTGCACACTCGAAAGATCCTTACCATCACTAAGATTGATGTTTCTTCCCACCTCAGGATGAACTGCGTCGTCTCCTCGCCACAGGAGGCCCTCTCCCGCCTCTAAGCCACAGGAGCCGTCGTCTCCTCGCCAAAGCGAATTAAAACGAGGAAAAGCATCCTCGAAGTGATAGAGGAGGCTGTCGAAAAAGGTATCCCCATGCCAGAGCAAGCTCCAAGCAAACGAAAGCCTCCAGAGAGAACGCCCAGCAGCACTAGAGAGGGACCTTTGCGCACCGTGTTGTGGGCGAAAGCTCACGCGGCCACAAGACGACCTTGATGTTGGTGCACTGTACTTCATCTTCTTGGTTTTTGCGATGATGGATTAAAATTGATAAGGTTCAATACTTATGTGTTTAAGCTTATTGCTAAGATTATAATCTTTTTTTTTTTGAAAATATACACTAGTCGTGTTCGTCTACAAAGATTGATATATCATTTATATTCAATAATGGCTTATGCACTTTTCAGTGTTCAACGAAAACAAGAAGATACCTACAACTAGAAATTCAAACTAACTCCTATATTTACGTAAGTAAAACAAGGTCGGTGGTGGATAAAGAAAATCTAGTACAAAATCAGTCCTAGGTCAAAAAAATCTAAATTGATTGTTTGTGGATATCTTGTTTGGTAGCATGTTGTTTGTTCGCATTGGTCGAAGCAGGCGGATCAATAACGCTTTCTCGTATCCTTCCAACCAGAGCTACTTGCACACTCGATCTCACCTACTCTCAAAAACTCACACGGTATTCTTCATGTAGAAGTAGACATGGTAAAAATTGAGATCACCAGCGTGGTAGGCTCTCGTTTCTTCCTGTAGTGCGTGCTCTGTCTTCTAGGAGTGACATGATGCCCTTCTCCTAAGTACTTCATAGATTTCGGAACAACGTATCCCGAACAAGCGCTCTAGAGCATTGCGTAGTAACTCGACTGCGCTTGTTTTTGCATGGCGGTGAAGGAGGTGTTGGCTTCTTCACTTATCAGTGGCACTAGTGTGCTAAATAGATGGATTTGCTTGGTTGAAAAGATCGTATAGGGACATGCTCTTAACCATACCTAGCGCGCGCAACTACCCGCATCACTGTTCTTTGTAGAAAGTCTTTCTTTACGCGTGGCCCCCATGCCCTCACCTCTTCTGAGATACCTTTCCCAACTTCTGAGAGACTCAACACTCTTGTGAGCCAAGCTTGCTTGTGATGGCAATACGCTCCAACTTTTCTAAAGAGCCAACTGAAACCCAGAGGTCCCGTAAGGGGGTCAGCTCAAGTCTCGTAAAAGGCTTTACCAGGCGACCAACTTCTGATATCCCACAGCAACTTCTGACAGGCTCGTCCACTAACTTCTGACAGGCTCGTCCACTAACTTCTGAGAGGCTTTACCAACTACCCCAACTTCTGAGAGGCTTTACCAACTTCTAAGAGACTCACCTCCGCGCTCTCCCTCGAAATAAAGGTGGTCCGTGAACATCGTCAGCCGGTCCTTCGTATCGAACATCTTGTGCGTCTTAGAGAGAGAAGCATGGCATCTTAAAGAAAGTCTTATCATAATCCATATACATAAACATACTCATCATTACTCCAATGTAGCCATAATCCCTTGACTCATCATTTCGCTGAACATGTAAGAATCACCCGACTTGATGCGGTCCAGCGCAACTTCACGCCTGCGCTTGGCAAGGAATTCTTTATCCCTATAGTGACACCTTCTCCATATGTACTCGTACTCGCGGCACCTGGTCGTAATTAACAGGGAATATGCTATATGTCTTCAATAGCAGCTGCACTAGGTAGTTAGACTTCACTAGTTCAGGTGTAGTAAAGCTATGTTGAAGAATCCCAGAAGTACTTTCCAGACGCCCACATCCGATCCATGCGGCAGTTGATCAAGTCGTCCTGTTCAGGCCCGCATTTGAAGGCGATCTCCTGCGCTATCACGTTGTTGATAGCAATGTGCTCACGCTTCTCCCACAGGCACCCCTGTCGCGCTTCCATGTACCTGAAGTAAAGGATATTCATCAGGATATTTTTCCTCAGTATTTCGTAGCTTGTAAACTAGGATAGGATAGGATAGGATAGGATTTGATTCACCGTCCACAGTTTGACCTGCATCCTCGGGCGAATGTGGGCAGCCACAGAGGGACTACCAATTCTGACTCTGTGCTGGAGGATGATGATGATGATGATGATAGAGATACCTAGTATTTACGGGTTGAGTCACTAGGAGTAAAAATAAACTCTGGTGGCGTGTCGGTCGGTCGTCCTCTTCGTAGTCTAGTCCTTAGTAGATGTACTACACGACCAATGGATATTAGGAGGACTACGAAGCTGCATACAAACGTTCTTCCTCCACACGAGCACAATCATGTCTAAGTACTAAAAGTGAGAGTGGGAAAGCAATCAAGAGTACACTCGTTAAGTGCTCAAAATCAATCGAATCAACACATCAATACGGCGTGCGCTGACATTTCTGTGATTCAAATCCGTATCCCTGTCCCTTTTTCGGAGCCCCTACTTCAACTGTCGGTGTTTCCGCGTACGGTGTATACTTACTTGATTCGTCCTCGGTGCTGCCATTCGCATCTAATTAGACTAAGAAAATCATTAGATGAAGATGAACATTAAATACTTCTAGTTTTTTCTAGCAACAGGTCCTCTAAACAACATCTTTGCATTTTTTTTGATGAAAGATGAGTACCTACTCTGAATACATACACCATGAGAGATGCCAGAGCAAGATAGTCTCTAAGAAATGAAGAGAATTCGTGAATCATGATTCAGGCATAAAGGGCAGTGTCCACCTCGCCCGCCTTCAACACGAGATACAGGAACGAGTACATGATTGCTGCGGATCCTCACGCAGCCGGGTCGGTCCTTGTAAAGAACCTACCACATGCAACCACAGAAAGATCACAGCATTTCCACAATCTCAATTTTCACCACGTCGTTGAGGAATATAATTATACCTAGAGTTGTTCACATCTCTCCTGTTCGGTTTCTACGCCATCAAACAGGAAATGATCCTATAGATACGTACTTAGTGTTGCCAGATCCTCTCCGTACTTAGTGTTGCCAGATCCTCTACGTACTTAGTGTTGCCAACGGGGTTACACGGGGCTAGTGGGCGTAGAAGAATCGACGTAGAAACATTTCAGGACTTTTTAAGTACCACGAAATCTCACACGACCCTAAATGTCTCTTCATCTCTCATGTCAAAACGCAATGAACTTCATTGGCCAACCTCTTCTATGGCTACTCACACAATTCAGACGGTGGACGCAGATACCGAGGATTTGGATTTGGACATTTTGGAAATACTGACTGTAGACCCGTACATCTCTCCCATGCCAAGCTGCATGCATGGAAGGAACAGCCACAGAAAAAGGCACAAGCAACGCGAGAAGCGCATTCAGGTCGAAGATGATAATCGGCATCACGTCTGAGGATGATAATCGGCTTTCAGACTTCGTAGCATTACCAACCTTCTGTTCTGTCTGTGTCTGTACTAGGCTCAGTAGGAGTTTCCCATAGTCTTAGAATTAGGCTCATTAGGAGTTTCGTGTTGAGGAGGGTCAGCACTTCGCGCCTGTTGGAGTAGCTGAAAGTCTGGATTACCAGTTGTAAACGGGTTCATAAAGTTGCCGCGTGTAGAGTCATCAAAGTCTCCGCTACCAGAGCAATCAAACTCGTGGGAGCAGTCAAACTCTTCAAAGTTGAACTCTTCTGAACTGTTCATGGTTCCAACGCCGATGAAGGGCGAAGCCGTCGTGTCAACTTTTCTCATTTTCGATGGCCTAGAAGACGAGACTTCTAGCACGCCAGGCGCATTATAATCTGAAAGAAGGCCATCATCATCCTCTGAATCGTCGGATATCTCAATCGTGTCTACCATACGACTTTCTTCTTCACGACGTCCACTACCCTTGTAAATGTAATGGCGCTGTCCTTTATCTTCTGCAACACGAGAAGTTGACGTTGTTTCTCTAGTACCATTGGTAATTTCATACTCCTGGTGTCCTTTAGTACCTGCAACACCATGATTGCCATCACACTGCGGCACATCAGTGGCATGGGCATCCTCAGTCGCATAGAACCAATAGGGATCGTCGTCAAAGATCGTCTTATCCGTGGAATAGTAACCCTTGTAATTACCCTTGTAATTCTTGTTGGAAAGGCCTTTCCATGATCGGTTGTAGTGCTTCGAAGAATTCGAATGCTGCTTCGACGAAGGATCATAACCTTTTTGTTGCTTTCCGCAAAAACCTTTTTGAGAATCTGCTTTCTTGCCACGACCTTTTCCTGTACCATTTTTGCCGCCTCCTTTGCCAAACACAGCACTCTCACTCTGATGAGCGCAGTCCGCATCCTGATCGTTGCTGAATAGTTTGTAATTATAGCTTTCCCTGCTCAACAGGGCTTCTCCGAAGTGATTTTGCGCTAGTAAATTGCCAGAAACTACAGGTTCGTTTGCTTCGTGATCCGGTCGTGATGGTGCACCAGCAGCATAAGAAGAGTTAATATTCGAAGAAAACCTCCCTCCATCCAACGTTTCGGCAGGTATGATGCCGACAACGCAGCCCGGCTCGAGGCCCAAGTAATCTTTTTGCTTTTGCGTATCGTCCATTATAAGTAGGTACAGAAGTGTCCCTAGCTTCTGAAGGAAATCCACTTCCTGTAAGGCAAATTCAGGTGGCCGCAAAGACGCAGACGCACTCTTGGACCTCTTGCAAAGAAAAGATACCTCTGGCAAAAGCATTTTTGAAAATTTTTGGAAAATCAGTCGCAAACCTTTCCGTATCTGGCCAATGGCTTTCAAGGCATGCGAAGAATCGAAAAAGAGCTGTAGGTAGCCGCCATTGAGGTGCATGATCCCCCAGTCGTAGTCAAAGCCACAAGCATGGCCAGGAGCCGTGACCGAGCCGGGGGAGGCACCTTCCATCACACGAGCTTCGTTGCCACACACAAAACCGCCAGTCTCACAAATGTGTTCCTTTTCCGCACTTATCTCCATGAAACTTCGAAATCGCACGTACGTCGGATGGAAAAAGGGCGCTGTTTAGTTTAGAATCTTGCAGCCTGATCCATCTTGAAGACCGTCTCCCTGAGACGTTCTAGCACCCCTTGAGAACGTCTCCGACGGACATGCTTCTACAGATCATGCATGGATTTGGATTAGGGTAACTGTTGAGCCTTAAATAGTACATAGCAGCCGCTTTATGGTTCTTTCCTCCACATTTGGACGAGGCACCTTTCTTTCCTCCATATTTCGACCAGGTCGACGTACCGCAAGAAGAACCTTCAGCGTCGCTAGGAGCATGTTTAATGTTAGTATTTGAGAACGCAGAATCAGTACAACCATCACCACCGGCCACTGCGGCAAGGAGCGCTAAAGCTGCACCGCCAACCTGAGTTATGCCCTTTATTGAGATCGGACTCGGGTGATAGTTAGTCTCATCTATGAAGGCTGGACCCTCAGTGTCACAGAAAGACTCGAATACGAGGAACTCATCTCGAACGCTCAGATTAGAGCTCACAGTAGTTCATCTCCGAGGCTCAAGCCTCGAAATCCAGGAAGGAAGGAATCTAGGAAGGCAATGAAGATAATTTTTTGTTAGCCTTACAATGTTGATATTGAGGAGAATTTTCTCTTCCTGATATGTGAAGATGAATTTTCTGTTAGCCGTAATAAGGTGTGCGGGAAGATTGGCGACGCAGGAGGCGCTTTGTGGCATGGCTGATGCGTTGCCCTCACATACCTCAACATCACGAGTCCTGCGTCCACTACGTCGAGCCGCCAAATTGGGGTACAAGCCAGCCGCAAGCGCCGCGATCAAGAGTGGATCGGATGGAATGAGAGGTTGCTTCGCGTTAACGTGATCATGATCTACTCTCGCCGCTGTTCTAGTACTGCTCCTAGAGGGCAGAGCAGGAATGCTCAGCCCCGAGTTGCGATTGCACCACGTGTGTGTGACTGCTGTCGCGCCTGCCTCTTCCGTAGGAAAATAATAATCAAGCGGATCATCAGAAGATTTAAACTCCTGCTCATTTTCTTCATTTGACCAAGAGAAAAGCAAACCGTTGCGGCTCATTTCACGTTGTAGTCGTGCAGTTGTGCGCACAATACCTGCCCCAAATCGCTGGCTGCGCGTCATGCGCAAGCGAGCAATTTGACAAGAAGCAAAGGGGCTAGAGAGTAGCAGGCGATCGGCACCAGGTAGTTTCCCGTCTTCCCCACGGACGCCGCTACTTCTATCTGCAAATGCACTGGTGTGGTCACCTCCCTTGTTGGACAATCCTTTCATGCCAGAATCTGCATTCAATCGAGTGCTACCTTTCGTGCCATAGCTAGGTAGCTTTGCTGTCAGCTGCAACCTCAAGAAAGGATCTACTGAGTCAGGGCAGAACTGAAATTTTACTAGCTTCTTAGACTTCGTGGCTCCTGTGTTCGAGGGAATACTCAGTCCTTCTCTTGTAGCGAGAACGAGACGGCTCAAAAGCTTGTCTATGGCCGTTTCCGATTTCCCGCTTCTCCTTGTTGCAGAGTCCCGCCTACTAGCGACTTCGCTCCCCGATGAACTTGATGAACTCGTGGTTAGGTCTATCACACCAGGACCTCTTCTATTGTAGTCTCCTGCCCAGGAGAAGTACTCGCTCTCTTTCTCCCGGAAGAGCCCTCTGCTGGAGTTCCCGCAAACACTGGCAACAACCAGCGCGTCATCTAGAATGCCGAACATTGCAGCCCAAAAGACGCTGCTGGCCGGACCGAGCGGGAGGCTGCTATTACACAGATATTGCCCGAAACGCGTGATCCTGCTCGTGCAAGAAGGTCTACTGCTTAAGGAGGCACCTCCAGGCTCTACTGAGCCGATGCTCCGTAGAGTTTGCACCGCTCGCTTAATCCGAGTTTTGTCTGGTGGCGTCGGCATTCCATCAAAAAATAACCGTAAATCTTGCACAGAACAACTTCTACAGGCTAAAGCTTCTTCCTCGTCTTGGGCTATCGATCTATTCGAATTTGCATTCCAATTTGAATTCGATAACTGTCGGAGACAGCTCGAAGTGACCAAAGTGTAAGGTCTTGAAGGTGTTCCACTTCCCGACTTAGCGGCTTGATGTGAATCAATCGGCGCACTTGAACACAACAAGGAAGAGCCAAAGAGCTCAAAGGTCAATCAACCTTGCTTATCATCTTGATGGTCCTGGATCCTTTAGGTAGGAGTAG